TACACACGCGCACACGCTCACACAAACAACACACACATACATATATGTATATATAATATATATTATATATATATATATAAAATATATATAATATATATATATATATATATATAATATACATTATATATATATAATATATATATATATATATATATATATATAATAATATATTATAATATATTATATATTATAATATATAATATATATATATATATTATATATATATATATATATATATAAATATTAATATATATATTATATATATATATAATATATATAATATATATATATATATATATATATATATAATATATATATATATATTATATATATACACATGTTATATATATACATATACACACACACACACACACCACACACACACACACACACACACACACACACACACACAGACCACACATACACACACACACACACACACACACACAACACACACACACACACACACACACACACACACACACACACACACACACACACACACAACATATATATATTATATATGATAAATATATATATATATATAGTATATATATATATATATATATAATTCATATATGTAATATATATATGTACATATATATATATATATATATAATATTATATATATATATATATATATATATATATAAATTTATCTATATAATATATATAATATATATATATATTTTATATATCTGTATATATAATATATATATAATATATTAGTATATATATAATTATACTTATATCTATATCTGCCTATCTATCTACATATCTATATATCTATATACATATATATTATATATATTTTTTATATATATATAGATATAGAATACATATTTATATATGTATATATTTATCTATCTATCTTTATCTATATCTATTTATCTTTTATCTATCTATCTATATCTATCTATCTGTCTATCTATCTATCTATCTATTATCTATCTATCTATCTATCTATCTATCTATAGTATATATATATAAATATATATATATATATATATAATATATATATATATATGTATGTATGTATATGTATATATATATATAATAATAATATTATATATATATATATATATATATATATATATTTATATGTTATATGTATATAAATATATATATATATATATATATATATATATAATATATATATATATATATATATATATATATATAAATAAACACACACACACAACAGCACACACATTAGACACACACCACACACAGACACACATACAGCACACTCTCACACACAAATTTCATATTTGTAAATTAATATTTACATATGTACATACACAGATATATGAAATCTGTTTATTTATGTTTATATAATCATATATATTATATAAATATATATATATATATATATTATATATATATATATATACAAACACACATACATGCACATATATATATATATATATATAATATATATATATATATATATATATATATATAATATATATATATATACATATGTGTGTGTGTTGTGTGTGTGTGTGCTTGTGTCTGTGTGTACACATAATGCTCATTTATTTTTCAACTCTTTATGTATGTGTGCATTTGTAGACTATATAAATCATTTTATGTTATCATTCTTCATTCAGTCGTCATTGAGTGATATATATTTAAATATCTGTTTCTTTAGATTTGTGCTTTTTATAGTTTTTTATTTATTGTTCGAAATTTATAGTGGAATTTTTCATTCCGTGAACATGTAGCCTTTAATGTTTTGTGATATTTTTTTTTTCATTATAAATTTGTGTTCTCAACTGTTTAAGAAATGTGTTTTATAAGTTTAGTAATTGATATTCACTTTATTGACTATATTTAGGGTTATTTATTTTGACTGTTGTTCCATGGGTATGAAATTTTATTAGAATATCATGCAGATATTTGAGGCTTATTGGTACACGTACTTATAGAAATAAAAACACACGAAAAAGTAATGAATTTATAGAAAGGACCGATAGATAATGAATAGATAACGTAGAAAGACAAAAAAAAAAAAAAAAAGAATCACACATAAACACGCGCACACACATACACACACACGCTCATAAACACACACACAGAAACAAACACACACACACACACACACACAGAACGGTACAAACTACGCAGAGAATAACATGATTAGAAAACAGAAATAAACAAATGCAACAACAACAAGAAAAACAGGGCTGCTCTCGAACACACGTCTACATACACATACATATTCATATACAGTATATGTATAAAAGTTTTTTTTTTCTGTAAAACGATTGTGTTAGCTGTAAGCCCTGCCTTTTAGCTGTAGATTGCTATTCGTCCAACCAATCACATATTTCTGATACTAGCACAAAGCCAAGCGAAAAGCGACCATAAACCATCGCGACGTAAGGATGTGAACCGGAGCTAATTTCCGTAATGTACCGATAGTCGAATACCCTCATTATGTCGAAAGTATCATCTGGAAAAAAAAAGAAAAAAAGAAAAAAAAAACCTTTTTGGAATATTTTTATTATTTTCTTGTTGCATACATGAAAGCCAAGACTGCAGCCTCTCTGCAACGATGAATCCCTGAGGTTTGTGTCAAGGTAAGCCTTCTGGTTCATAAACATTCACTGTCCTGACTAGATATATGGAAATAACAGGGTCTTTGATCCTAACGACTGCATCACCATGCCATGTGCACATGTTGTAGTTATAATGGTGAACGTTAGACATTCAGGTATTAGGTAGGTAAAACGTGTTATTGATAAAACGTTGCTATATATATGTAAAAGAACAAAGTGGTGCATGGGCAGCTTTGTCTCTCCTTTTCATTTATGTATGCACGCACACTCAGAGACACACACGCACACATACACACACACATACACACAACCTGACACAAGCACACACACACACACACACACACACAAGCACACACGCAACACACACACACACAAGCACACAAGCACACACACACACACACACACACACACACACTCAAACAAGTACACACCCATCTAAATATGCGTCATTGTGTGATGCAGATCAGGAATAGATGACAATGTTTGATCATTTGCAAACCAGAAGTCGAAAAATTGATGATTGCAATAAAGAAGAGGATAATACTGCAGGGAGTTATAAGGAAAACGAATCTATGATATATTTCAGCTGTTTATTCGTCTTTGTATAAAATTTCGGATTAGAGGAAGACATCGAAATTCTTAAGGATTGTGAAGAAATATAGAGTCGTTGATAATCCTGTGACGGTGGAATCTTGACCAAACATAACAAACAGGTACAAAAGTTATATACATACATACATACATACATACATACATACATACATACATATATAATAATATATATATATATATATATATATATTGTATATATAAATATATATGTATGTATATATATATGTATGTATGTAGTATGTATGTATTATATTATGTATTACCCCAAAAGAATAAACTAAATGTAACTTCCACCGTTTGTATTATATACGAGAAACAGATTCAACGGAAAGTTACACCAAAGAACAGATTTTATAACGTGTAATTTTTGGCTCATTTACTGTCTGCTTGTAATACGTAGCGTAATGATTAACCCAAGCAAGAGAAACAGAGAACCCCATTTAATAAGGTTTAATGTGTGATGTTGAGGAGTTTGGGTATGAACTCTGCGGTCTGTTTAGGTCTAGTTATTGCCATTTTTATCTTTATGACGAAAGACAGTCTTGTGAATGAACTTCACTTTCGGCTATAGGCTATGTATATGTTTTATTTATTTATTTATTATTATTTTTTAGGAAATCACCAACCATTCGATTCTTCAAAATTCATTCTAGCGAAAAAATGCTAATTATAATTCTTCTCTATACTCGTACATTTTTTTTTAAGAAGTAATATAAGAACAAACCTTGATTTTCAAAATACGTATTCCATTTCTTCGAAAAATAAAGGATTTGGCAAGCGGATCCGCTGATAAAAAGCTTATCTACTGCCACTCATGCTGAAAAAGGGAAAAAGAAGGTTAATTTTCTTATCCTTTGAGTCAGATAAGCTGTTAACGCGTTGTATACTGATGAATGAGAGCATAAACACAAACAAACACATACACATACATAGACACACATACACACAGACACAAAAAACACACACACATACCCACACATACACAAACGCATAAAACAAAAAAAAACACACACATGGATACACACAGACACGGAGACACAAACCACAGAAATATATAGCAAATATTTATATTTGTATACAAACATGCATATGTACATATACATAAATATATACATATACAAATATATATATATATATATATATAATATATATATATATAATATATAGTATATATATATATATATATAATATATATATATATATATATAGAGTGTGTGTGGTGTGTGTGTGTGTGTGTGTGTGTGTGTGTGTGTGTGTGTGTGTGTGTGTGTGTGTGTGTGTGGTGTGTGTGTGTTTTGTGTGTGTGTGTGTGCGTCTGTTCTGTGTATGCACATGTATATATATATTATAATATATATATAATAATATATATAATATATATATGTATATATATATGTATANGAGAGAGGGAGCGAGGAAAAGTATGTGTGAGATAGAGAAGGGGGTGGAGAATGAGGAGAATAGAGGAGAGGGAAGAGAGAGAGAGAGAGAGAGAGAGAGAGAGAGAGAGAGAGAGAGAGACTGAAAGCTGATCCAACATGGTTCACACAGATCATGTTTCTTGTCATATAGATTGTGCATCTTTCAATCATCTCTATCAACGGAAAGTGAAAGAAGCAGAAAAAAAGTGTATATATACATTTCTTTCCACTTTACAAATGTGCGTAGGGCGAGTGAGCAAATAATAAAGAACAAATGAAGAAAAGTACAATGGCCCTCCCCGAATACCGCCGCAGAAAGTGACTCACTGGCAACTCAAGCAGGAACTGGCAATGAGGGGGAGAGATCCCGAAAGTCAGTGCCAGCCAGGATGTTTAAGGAGAAGGTTGTGTCGCGCCGCCCGTCCGCCTATTCCCAGTGTAGTATGGCATAACAACTTTAAGTTCCTTTTAATCACCTTTCTGGTGCATTTACAGTCGATTCATATCTCCCCATATCATCAAAGCATTGATGATCAGGTCGCTATCACACGTAAATAAAGAGAAATTCCCGAGAAAATGTGAAGCCCCGTCGACCTATGTGGACACAACACTTGGCATTGGATCCTGTCATGAACGAGAGGCTTTCCTAACCCACCACGCCCACAAACAGAGACCAAGCCACTCCTACACCCGTAGACACTCCCCCGAGATCCCAGCAGCACCACGCCCATCGTTACCGGGGTCGGCAGGGAGCGCACGCCCACACGCCCTCTCGTCAGCATACAAGGTCGGTTATCACACACAAAGGAGAGATAGCAAAGAGAGAGAGAGAGAGAGAGATGCGAAAGAGAGAGAAAGGGGGCGGGGGGGGGGGGAGGGGAAGAGGGAAGAGAGAGAGAGAAGATGAGAGTAAGAAAGAGAGAAGGACAGAGAGAGAAGTGGATATGGAAAAAAGGAGAGAGAAGTGAGGGAAGGAAGGAGAGATGGGGAAAAACAAGAAAAGGACAGAGAGAGAGAGAGAGATAAGAAATAGATAGATAGATAGAGAGAGAGATAAATAGATAGATAGATAGATATAGAGAGAGAGAGAGAGAGCAAGGAAGAAATCCAGAGCCAGATTAAATGAAAGAAAATGTCAGCGTGAGGCAATTGTTAAAAACACAAAACTCTAAGGACCTGCACATCACATTTCAGTTACTCCGTGAAGTCCTTTCAGTTATTCTGTCTGCATTTAATGATTGATATAAAATGTTAGTAAATAATGATAATGACCATAATATCATGGTAATGATAAGGATGATTAATGATAAAGGTTGATGATATTAATGATTGTTTAATTGTTTTAAATTGATCATGATAATTAATGAGGAAATGATAATAAGATATGGATTGAAAATAATGATATGCTAATGTTAATGATCATGAAAATGTGTTGATAGTATATAATTAATTATGATGATAAGTAGTGATAACAATTGATGATGAATAATAAATGATAACAAATGATGATGACTACAATAATATTAATGATACTAATGAATAGTTATTTCTGATACTGATATAAAATGATAATAAATATAATGATAACGATGATTTAAGTAATAGAAATAATAATAATTAGTATTACTATGATAGTAATAATGATGATAATGATTAGTGATAAGAAAAATGGTAATGGTATAATGATAATGGTAATTGGATTTATTAATGATAACAATTAATGATAATTGATGATAATAATGCATTAGTAGTAATAATGTATATGACCAATAATAGTAATAGTAATGATAATAGTAATAAGGCGATAAGAAATGATAAATGGTAATAACAATGACAGTAATAGTAATGACAGAATGATGATAGATGATAATAATAATAATTAATAACAATAATGGTAATATAAATGATTAATGAACGATTACAACACGAAAAAAAACAACAACAGCAACAAGAAACATAATACCAAACAATGACAATAATAACAAAATAATAAATAACACCAATAACAACAAATAAAAACACAACAACCTACGTCCATGAATATACAACCCCACGCTGAGGGCTGAAGCAAAAATGACCACTTATCACTACTCTCAACATTCCAGAGGGCGCTTGCTTCCTATCTGATGCAGGATCGGATAATTTGGAGGATAATCTCCCTTGTTATCCTTTATCCGATGATGACATGCACAACCGAAGTGACTTGTCGATGGCTTTTTACGTGTTGTTCATCTTTCTCGGCTTTTGTCATGTCCTCCTTTGGCACCGCGTGGGGTGTGAGGTGAGAGGTGTGAGGGTGAGAGGGAGTGGGATGAAGTGAGCGTGAGAGGGTGTGAGTGACAGGGTGAGAGTGAGGGTGAGAGGGAGTAAAAGGGGATGAAGTGAGTGTGAGAGGGAGTGAGAGGGTGAGGGGTGAGAGGGAGTGAAAAGAGGTGAGGGTGAGTAGAAGAGAGGGAGTGAGAGGGTGAGGGTGAGAGGGGAAGTAGAGGGTGAGTGTGAGAGAGAAGGAGAGGGTGAGGGTGAGAGGAAGTGAGAGGGTGAGAGTGAGAGAGGAGTGAAGAGGGTGAGGGCGAAGAGGAGTGAGAGGGTGAGAGTGAGAGGGAGTAAGAGGGGTGAGTGTGAGAGGGAGTGAGAGGATGAGGGTGAGAGGCTGATGGGTGAGAGGGTGAGAGGCGAGTGAGAGGGAGTGGAGGTGAGGAGGGTGAGAAAGAAGGTTGAGAGGAGTGAGAGGGTGAGAGGGTGAAGAGGCGAGAGGGAAGAGAGAGTGAGGGTGAAGGAGGGTGAGAGGGAGAGCAGAGGGGAGAGGGTGAGGGTGAAGGAGTGAGAGGGTGAGGGTGAGGGGAGTGAGAAGGAAGGAGGAGAGTGAGAGGGTGAGGGTGAGAGGTGAGAGGGTGAGGGGAGAGGAGTGAGAGAGTGGAGAGAGAGAGAAGAGAGTGAGAGGGAGTGAGAGAGTGAGGGTGAGAGGGTGAGAGGGTGAGGCGTGGAGGAGTGAGAAGGTGAGGGTGAGAGCGAGTGAGAAGGGGAGGGTGAGAGGGAGTGAAGAGGTGAGTGAGAGGAGTGAGAGGTGAGGGCGGAGAGGGAGTGAGAGAGTGAGAGAGAGGGAGTGAGAGTGAGGTGAGAAGGGAGTTGAGAGGAATGAGAGGGTGAGGGCGAGAGGGAGTGAGAGGGTGAGAGGGAATGAGAGGGTGAGGGCGAGAGGGAAGAGAGAGTGAAGGCGAGAGGGAGTGAGAGGGGAGGGTGAAGGGAGTGAGAGAGGGAGTAAAAGGGGGCGGATTGTGAGAGGGAGTAAGAGAGAGAGTAGGATGAGGGAATGAGTATGAGAGAGAAAGAGAGGATGGCAGAGTGAGGGTGGAGGTGAAAGAGAGAGAGAGAGAGAGAGCGAGAGGGGTGACAGGGTGTGGGAATGGGAGTGTGACGGAGTGAGGGGACGGGGGAGGGATAAGGTGGTGAGGGGAAGAGAGGGGAGGGGGAGGGGGGGAAGGGAAGGGGAGGTGGATTTTAAGTGGATGTAGATTGTGTCCGAGGGGCGTTGTGGCATGTCCTGTTTTTACGACGAACCAGATGACGGTGCAGAGAATTAAAGTAAAGGAACATGTTATTACTAAAAAAACATAACCATTATTACTACCATTACCACTAGTATTACTTCTATTACTACTACAACTATTAGTACTACTATTTCTGTTGTAACTACTAATACTAGTTCTATTACTACTACTATTTCTGTTGTTACTACTAATACTAGTTCTATTACTACTACTATTTCTGTTGTTACTACTAATACTAGTTCTATTACTACTACTATTTCTGTTGTTACTACTAATACTATTACTACTACTACTACTAATTTCTGTTGTTACTACTAATACTGTTACTACTAATACTAATTCATTACGTGACTATCAATAACTTATATAAAGGCGATATTGATAACAGTAATGATGATAATGGTAAGAGCAATGATGATAAAGATGATAATACAGTATTGATAGTGATGTTGATATATGAAAATGGTAATGACAACGATGATGATCAATATTATAACAATTATAATAATCATAGTTGTAACAATGATGATTTTAATAGTTGGGTAGTGATAAGAATAATGATAATGAAAATGATAATGCTAAAGAGAGTGATGGTAATGGCAATGATAATAAGAGTAATAATGGTGGTTTTGGTAATGATAATAATGATGATGATTATGATAATAATAATGATTATGATAATACCATGATATAATATACTAAATAAAATGATAATAATAATAATAATAATAATATAATAAATAATAAATATGTAATAATAATGATAATAATAAAATAATGATAATAATAATGATAATGAATATAGATACTGATAATAACAATAAAGATTAAAGTAGTATTGCTAATAATGATATTGATGATAATAAAAATTATATTAATGATAACAATACTAATGATAATGATAACAATTATGGAAATGGAAATGATAACAACGATAAAAATAACAATAGAAATGGCGGAACTTCATTTATATTGTATTTTCAAGATTAGTTTATAATCAAATTTATACCGTACATAAGCTTCCAATTGTAAAATGGATTCTGGTAGTGACAAAAGATTTAAACTTGACAGTATTTACATACCAACAACTTTTTTCCGACAATCCTTTACTTGGCACCGAGAGAAAGTTTCAGCGTGACTATTATTTCCGGCGTTGGTTCTGAGGAGCGTCTACCCATGTGATTATTCTTTCGTTTCGATTGATGGTGATTCTTGTGTTGATTGGCGTGGCTTGTGTGGTGAAGGTTGTTTCGTGGCGTTTGGTATTTTGATTCGTAAGAGGATAATGATGAGGATAATCGTGATAATGTGATATTGTCGTTTTCGGTTACGTGTGTACACACAGACTCACACTCACACATGCATAAACATATATATATATATATATATATTATATATATATATATATATATATAATATATATATATATTATATATGTATGTATGTATGTATGCATATGTGTGTGTGTATGTATACATATACATACACACACACTGTTTCCTTTGAGAGAGAGAGAGAGAGAGAGTGGGGGGGGGGGAGGGGGGGGAGGGAGGGGGGAGGGGAGGGAGGAGGGAGGATGAGAAGAGAGAGAGAGTGTGTGTGAGAAAGAGAGAGAGAGAGAGGGAGAGAGAGAGAGAGAGAGAGAGAGAGAGAGAGAGAGAGAGAGAGAGAGAGAGAGGAGAGAGAGAGAGAGAGAGAGAGAGAGAGAGAGAGAGACTTTTCAAAATCTCATTTCCTTGGAGAGAGAGAGAGAGAGAGAGAGAGAGAGAAGAGAGAGAGAGAGGAGAGAGAGCGAAAGAGAGAGAGAGAGAGAGAGAGAGAGAGAGAAGAAAGAAAGAAGAAGAGAGAGAGCTTTTCAAAAATCTCATTTCCTTGGAGAGAGAGAGAGAGAGAGAGAGAGAGAGAGAGAGAGAGAGAGAGAGAGAGAGAGAGAGAGAGAGAGAGAGGAGGGAGGAGGAGAGAGAGAGAGAGCGAGAGAGAGAGAGAGAGAGAAAGAAAGAAAGAAGAGAGAGAGAGACTTTTTTCAAAAAATCTCATTTCCTTGGAGAGAGAGAGAGAGAGAGAGAGAGAGAAAGAAAGAGAGAGAGAGAGACAGGGAGAGAGCGAGAGACAGACAGAGAGAGAGAAAGAAAGAAAGAGAGAGAGAGACTTTTCAAAAATCTCATTTCCTTGGAGAGCGGGTTTACTCTCCCGTCGGTTCTCCTTTCTAATGAACGGGGCTGTTTTGTAGTCGCTTCAC